GAGGTCTTTGGAAGGTTAGGGTAAAGGGCCTCTACTAGGGATTCCTTCCTCCGTTCCCTACGAACAAGTGGAAAGAAGAGAGGTTCAAGCAATCCTTAGCTAATACTACCTCTCTCTTGACTGTGCGGCGCAGAACCCTCAACCCTCAGCCCTAGCTGGACCCAAAACGTAGGTGAAATAAGAGTAGCCCAAGACCGTAAACTGCCATCGTTCTACATACTTTGGGGGTGCAGGTAAGAGCTAAACGTACATCCGAGGTTGAAGCAGGACAAGCTCGGCATTGCAACTGCCTTGTCTTTTGTTTGCAGCCGAGAATTCTTCGAGTTGTGCTTTAAGGCTCTGGGTTTAGGGTTTACGGCTTTGGGTTTCATCGGCCTCAGTTCAGGTTCAAAGGGTTTAGGGGCTTCGGCTCTTGTGCTAGATGTAGCATCCTTCCTCTGCTGTGGTGCTGGAAGGCGGTCACAGGGGGTAGGGGTCTACACCATGCCGTTGCGGAAAAATAGAATGCTGTTTTTGTGACGTTTTCTTGTTGGGTCTTATGGTTGGCTTTCTGCCTCAACAGCTGAGAGTCAAAGATCAAAAGCATTGACCCCTGCATGCTAGCCCCAACCACCACGCGGTTTAGAGTTTAGGTTTTAGGGTATACTGTATAGTCGCCAGAAGAATCTGGTGATTCCTGTGTGCTCCGCACAGTATCCCTACTTCGAGAAATTCCCCAACTGCCCGAGATGTCGCATGGTGAAGCTTTGGGCAAAGCGCCGGCGGCTTACCAACACACTGAAAGGAGGCCTTAGCAGCAACTTGACAGAAATGGCTATCCTCCCCCAAGCTGATATGGAAATTGGGGCCCCGTAAGAAGGGTTAGGGTTTTTGGGCGTCTAGATTTTGGGTCCCTGTATTTGTGGAAACTACCACATGTAAGCCCCTTCAGTTAGAGGGCTGGCGTTGGGAGGTCGGCTTATAATCCCAGCAAGTGAAATCTTTTTGGGTGTATAATGAAAAGGTTGCACTTTGTGAGGAACGTTTGTTGCCGACGTACAACACGGACAGTAGACCCCTAATCAAAGGCGACATCAACAGAAGACTCTCATGGTCCATCGAATTGATGCAACTCATGCTATACTCTGCGGGAAGGTAGGGGAAGCCATACCACTCAAAGTTATCATCAGCTCGTGTTCATAATGTCAAAACTCTCACTTCTGAGCGAAGCACCGCAACACCTAGTGCTTTCAAATGAACATGGAAGCATCTATAGATCTGCTACAAAGGAAAGTCGTATTGACAGGGCGAGCTTTCCGGTTTTAATGGTAATTTCTGGAAAGGGTGCACGCTGGGTGAGGGTACAAGACTTTGAGGCTGAAAGTTGTCGATTCCTTCCAGCTTGGGCTGAGTCTACGCCGAGCTCGATGTTTTTTTGATTTGTGGCCCTCTATATTCAGGATGTAAGAGGACTGGGCCGTGCAATCCACGACGATGGAGTAGTTCTGGTCGCCAGGCACCTCAACAGCGGACCACAAATTGCATAAACAAATGTACTAAAAGACGGGTAGTTTAGCTCCCGTTTTAATGTAAGAGTATAATCCTGCCTCGGTCAAGTTCTTTGTATGAAGGAGATCCGGTTGCTGAGTTCAAGTACCAAAAGAACAAATCTCATGTCTTGCTGTCCATTGATCCGATCTTTTCAGAACAAGATGCACTTTCTGGATCCTGGAGCTCTTAAGGTTCGGGTTTAGGGTTTAGGGTGACATGTTCAAAACGTACTGGGGAAGGTTGGCTTATCCCGCGGCAGTCAAAGAGAGGTCGCAAGGCTTCTGTAAGCAACCAAGTCTCCTCCAACAAAACCGCTTGTGGGGGCTGGCTGCCAAGGCTTTTCCTTTGTTCTTCTGACCATCTTTTTCCTTCAGCAAGGACAGCTTGCAGAGCTAGGCTGTGATGTCAAGGGACAGGGCTGGTGTTTAGGGTTTATATAGGGCGGTTTAGCATCAGGAGCTTGCACCTAGGCATCCACCTTCTCAATCTGCTATGTACTGTGTCCTCGGTATGTAAGGTTGTGCTTCGGGGGAACCCAAGGCATCCATGAGCCTTCTCCGCGCGCCCGCCCCACCCTCCCCAATTTGTTTTTGGGAGGGGACTGTGCTGAAGCCCCTGCAGAAGCATCATATCCACCGTCGAGTGGACACACATCCCAAAGAGGCATCGCGGTACCCAAGCCGAGGAAATGCATATTTCCCGCGCACAATGCCTATTCATCACGTGTGTAGCCCAAGATACTTTCAGTGCGACTTGAGTGGTTCCGTTTTGGGCTCAGAGAGGGAGAGGGGATCATACTGTTGGCCTCTTCCGCAAAGGGTCCATGTAGTTATATGGTATATACTTGGGCCTTGAAGTAGGTATATGGGAACCCCTTTGGGCCCTAAGTGTATACCATATACCTACATGGACCCTTTGGGTTCGCTAAAGGAGGTGAGGCCAACGCTGCAGGGCAGACTCATGGCCTTCCCCCGCAGAACCTGGGACTGAAACTGTCTCAGGCTGGACCTCCCCCCTTCCAAAACTCTCCGTATGAGGTTCTAATGGGCTACCTTAGGAGGACCCCCCACCCTGTAATAGTGGCATAATAGGAATATGAGAGGACCCTAACATAGTCCTTCTTACCCATAATAGTCACTATTACCGGGTGGGGGGTCCACCTAAGGGCTACCATTGTTGCAGGTCTTGGGCTTGGGATGGTTCAAAGTTTTTTTTTTTTCTCGTGGGGTTAGGGCAATGAGGGGTGGATGCATCTTGGTAGGTTGGGGTCTTCTGATGACATGGCACGTCTTGTTGACCTGAGGACCTAAGTGGTGGTTTCCCAGAAAGGGGTACCCCAGTGTAGACCCCAATATACTACAACCCCTATTATGGGGACTCCCTAAAGGGTACCCCGAAGTTGGCAAACCCCCAAGTATAATGCTTAAGTTGACCTAGTCGGTGCGCCTGCCGAGGAACATGGTCACGGGGACAAAGCCCACGGCCGCCAACCCGGACCCTGCGTCCTTCTGGTAGTGGGGGTGGTCCCCAAATTTGGAGTACCCTTTTTGGGGGTCCCTTTAGTAAAAGGATCATCGCATTTTGGGGTGTGTAGGGGGGGGGACCCGAATTTTGAGAAAACCAATTAGTCCCCTCTTCCTGACATGAATCCCTCCCACCCTCCCTAATATTGAATATTCCATCATGGTACACTACAATATGTGGGAAATGTTTCAGGGGGGCTTTTAAGATGTTCGAGCTTTGTGCGCATCAGGTTGAGTAAGCGAAAGCCTCAACACTATAGACTTGATCATAGCCACACCTGCGAATTAAGCTGAATGCGTCCAAAACGCCATGGATATTGAGCTCAACATGTCACAAACTATGAAGGCCCGTTAGCTGCAAAAAAGACCTGGCTTTGGAAGGTCCATGCGTTCTACTATCCAATGCTTTCAGCGCATGCGAACCCGACCTCCTGAGCTTGCTGCAGCCTAAGCACTCGCTGAAACCTGAACGTTTGAAGTCCTCTGCCTAAATGGTCCAGGGCTGGCTTAGGGCTCCGCCTCCGCACCATAAGAGTTTCACCTCGCTGCCTAAATGGAACAAACAGTGGCCCCCAATATAGACCCCAAGATACACAATCCTTGTGCAAGGGCCTTACGACGTGTGTTGGACACCCTCAACCGTCTAGTAAACAAGGAAAAGTGCTGTCCACCTCCGCTGGGTCTCAACCCGCAGGCAACTGAGGAGGAAGCGGTCGTTCTTTGGTCTATACTGGGTAGGCCCCTGGGATATTTAATATTTTCCCTAATGGCTTTGATAAGGGACCCTATATACTAATATTTGTCAAAGGGTTTTAGGGGCCAACCCAGTATAGTCCCCCTTAAGTAGATAGAATATGAAATTGACCTACATATTAATAAGATCCCCATATACCCCATATTCTATCTACTTAAGGGGGGCTATATAGGCTTCAGTGTTCATGGCTATTGAACCGAGCCTGGATGCAAAAGGTATAAATTGTCTCTTACATTTGTTGCTTGATGTGGCGAGGGTTTGCGTTTGGGCCTTTTTCTTAGGAAACAGGGTCTGAAGTGCAGGACTGAAGAGTTTCGGTCTTTATGGCTGGTATATTTAGGATTTTGGGGGATTCAGGATCTAGGGTCAACCCTATTGATCGTGCTATGAAGCCTATACCCTGAAACCTGCAGTTCAATGCGTGTGTTGAAGCCCTCAAGCGTAAGCTCGAAGTCTTCACTGCTTTGGGGGCGCGGATCATGGTTTGGTGTTTCCCAGAATAAGGGAACCCCAATCCCTATAGGGACCCCCAATAAGGTACCCCTAATTTTGGGAAACTACCGTTTAGGTTCAAGGGGTCAGGAGAAGGAGGGCCTCCATATCAGGAATATCAGGGCGGGGGGAGAATTGAGCGGCGAAGAAAACTAAGCATAAGTTGGAAACTGGCTTTATACAGGTGTGTAGAGATTGGGTAATATAGAAGCTTGAAGATTTCGAATAGCATTCCCCTCTCAACCTTCATTTTGTTGTAGCAGAACATACCCCAAAACCATATTAACATTTCGGCTCCACATTCGCCTAGAAAGCACTAAAGAAGACACCTTCATGAGCGCCAGAGCCCTACGTGGCTGGCATTCAGTGACTACGTTATGCCACCTGCCTAGCGAAACCATTTAGGGTTTAGGGTTTAGGTTGCCACCTTTCTAGGCCTTTTTGCCTCAAGTTTCACAGGAGCTCGCTCGCTTACTGCTGGCGTTTTTCAACTGGGCTGCAGAGGATTTGCCACGACTACAAAGCTTCACGCTCTCCGTCGCCTCTGCAAAAGCAGAGCTCTGACTGAATCAAGAACCAGTATAACGTATGATCCCTCAGAATGTCAAGATGTCCCCAGGCCCCTTAATGCAAGAACCTTGGATCATCAGGACGCCAGAAAGGCACCTGTACCCTAGAGAGTCCTCAAGGCAAAAAGCTTAAAATAGAAAATCAGGCGAACCCCTTTATTCAGGGCAGGGGAAATTCTACTACGCTTGTTGTAGGGATCTACTCCCACCTTTACTACAAGCAACAATAAACCCTAAACCTAAAGACAAGGAACGCCGGGCGGGAGCCTTCAAGCCATTAGTTCTGGCTGTGCCTTTTGCTCCTGGAGACAATGCAGCTCGCTGCCTTCGTGCGGATGTTTGGGAGCCGTAGGCTGAAATGGGGGTGTATTGATTTAGGATTTACCTAGACCCTCCAATGTAGTACCTTTTTGGGTTTGGTATGGCTTTTTGGTTAGGACTCTTATTAGGACTACCAAAAAGGTACCACCTTAGAGGGTTTAGGTAAGGTTTAGAGTTTAAAGATCAGTTTTGAAGGTCTAGGGCTCAAGTTTAAGTATTAGGCTTCAGAATCTAGGTTAACTCTCCTAGCAAGTTTATGTACGGTTTAGGATCCGTTTTTTCCGGGTACAGAAGCATGATCCTTTTCTTGAACTCACCGGTGGTGTTTCGGAGGTCGTGCCTGGGTTCGTTGCTTCTGAGGACATAGTTCGTAAGCTTTCAAAATCAACTCTCAAGAAACCCTGAACCTAAACCCTGAATAGTCGTTCCATTTTTCCATTAGCCCCTATATAACTCCAATATAACCCTAACATGACCCCAATGGGTAAGTCTGCCCAGCCTGGAAAGGGGCCTCCCGAGTTTAAGGGGACCCCACAATAGGAGACCGCGGGGTCCGTGAGGAAAGCCTTTGTGCGGCCCTAAGCCCAGATCTCTACTCTACACCCTGGACACTAAACTCTACACCCTGAACCCTAAATTCTACGCCCTAAACCCTAAACCCTGATCTTTAAAAGTTCCTTAGCTGAGGAAATGCTCATCCGACGTGAGCTGCAGCGCGCAAGTCGCTTCATGAAGCAGGTTGTCAGTCAAACTGGCCATGACAGAAGAGCAGCCCGGTCTCATTCAATTTAGGGGAATATTGGGATAATGGAAAAGAAAATGGAAGCTATAGAGATTATAGGGGTTATATTAGGGTCATATTGGGTACATATTGGGATAATGGAAAAGAAAATGGAAGCTACTATTTAGGGTTTAGGGCTTAGGAGGGCATCTCATCCGGTTAAGGGTTTCGGGCTCAGGGCTTGGGGTTTAGGGTTGAGAGTTTAGGGTTTACGCGGGCAATTCTATTCTAAAGCCTGTGAAGAAGGGGGTTAATTTAACAAGGACGTCACCCAAACTCAACTTGTAGACATTTTTAGGCTTTAAATTCCTGGTTTGGTGGGGTATGCTGTGAAGGTCTGTAGATGTCCAGAGATTGCTTGAAATGTGTCCAAATAGCGGCCCGAATCTGGCATCAGACGTTCAGGCTAGCATTGCAGCAGGTCACGAGGAAGGCTCCACAAGTCAGAAGGACGCGTTTGCAATTCTAATGCTTTTCCCGGCTTCCTGTGAGAGTTGATCAAAACTATCGTGGTACCTTCATGGCTGCCAAGTTGCCAGGGGCATAGCTTGCAGCCAACCTTCACCGGCCGTGACGGCCTTGAACCTGAAGCCCCTATAATGCAAGCAGACCGCATGAGGCTGTAGCACCCCTCCCCACTTTCAACGCGTGGCGCTGATGCCCTGCCACAATGTCTAGGGTCTATAGTTCAATAGGGTTTAAGGCTTGTAATAGGCCTTATCACACGGGATGCCTTCACAACCATTATTGTGTTTCATCTGATACCATGCCCCAGACCCCTGCAAGGATCTAGAAAGTAGAGCTCCCAACATCTACTTTCTAGATCCTCAAGGGTCTTGAAGAACTCAGGATTCTGTGCGACTACTATTCTCCCCTGCTGGCGACGAGCAGGAAAATCCGCTGCCCCCGATGCCGGATCCTGAACTCGAGGTCGCCGGGCCAGGTTTAGGGTTCAGGGTGTAGGGTTTTTTGGTCTAGGGGTTCAGGTTTTTAAGTTTTAAGGGTGGGGACATGGGATAACCCAGGGGTATGTAGAGATTGTTCTGGTCGTTATAACACTCAGAATAGCCCCAAGACCTCGAACTGGCCCTGAACCCCACACTGGATCCTGCGCCAAGGTTGCTGGGCCAAATCTATTCGGGGATGGGGGTACCTTTGAAGGGGGCTATAGGGGATATATAGGGTTATATAGGGTTTAGGGTTTCTCAAAATTCGGGGTACTTTGTTGGGGCCTCTGAGCCTTCGGGCTAACCTAGGGATTTGCCCCGAAAAGCCGAAATTACGAAAGCATTCAAATAAGCAGCCCAAACCCTACAACCAAACCCTAA